CATCCAGGTAGCTGTGCTCACTTACACTACCCGCTTAACCTCCGTGGGCATTCGAGTTCGGCTTAGAGCAAGCCTTGTGCCCTGTTCCTCCCACCGCCCGCTTGGGGCACTTTACAGCAGGGCAGGTCCTGCTCCAGCAAGATGGTAGGACTACATTCCACTGGGGAAATCAGGGATGGCATCCCTGATCAAGAGCTCTGGCGCTCAGGAGTGGAACTTCCTATGAGAGAGAAGATTTCCAGGGTCTCACGTACGAGAGGAGGGAGGCATTCCAGGTAGCAGGGCCAGCAGAGCAAAAGCATGGAGATGGGAGTGTTCACCATGTGCTTTGGGAATACCAAGACCTAGGATTCATGCCAGGCAGTGGAGCAATATAAGGGTGTAGATGTTCACCCTTATATTGCTACCTGGTCCAGGCCATTGAGCATCTTGGATTTGAGGTTGAATTCAGTTCAATTGCATAAATTCTCTCTGACCCCTTTGTATCCCAGGTTCTCCACTAGAGCATGAACACAGGTATGGTTAAGATGAAACCTCTGCCCGGCACTTCTATCAAGTTTGGTCATCTATAACTTCGTCTTGGTTGGTGTTTGTTACTTTTTGCCATGGCCCTGATATAAAACCCTATATTCAAACCTGATAAACGAGGACTTTTCCAGGTTAAAGAATCTAGCTCATTTGCTCCAAGGGGCTGGGGAATCCCTGAGATCCAGGGGCCCTGTATGTGAAGGGTGAGTTCCTGGAAGTCTCTGGAGCCTGTCAGCCTGGAAGGGCACCTCCCAGAGGAGCTTCCGCCTTGTAGTGGGCACAGAGCTAGAGAGGGAGGCCGGGAGAAGGCCACTGTGGAGGCTGAGTGATGAGGGGATGCTTTTGAAAGAGAGGAGAGGGAAGAGGCACAGAAAGAAAATGAAGAATCTATTTATCGGACAGCAAGAACATGAGCCTGATTGTTTGGGGAAGAAGGGAATGGTGAGACCTGTCAGGGATCTGCTATGCTGGGCTCCAGAGAAAGCCAAGGATATGTGTGTATGTGTGTGTGTGTGTGTGTGTGTGTGTGTGTGTGTGTGTGTGTAAGTTATCAAGGTGAAGATGGAAAGACCCCCAGACAGACAAAGACTTCTTGGGCTGCCTCTCGCCCCTCTGAGACATAATAGAAAAAATACAGTTCCGTGTGACAAACATGCTGCCTTAACGTCAGGAGGTACAACCCCTCTTCTGGTGTGAAGGGTCTGCCTTTGGGAGACGGCCATGACGCACTGCCTGAGGTAGAAGAGTGGGCGTGGGCTTTGGCTGGAAACCAGTGAATGAGGAAAACATGACGAAGTTTCTCTTCAAAGAGAAAAAGAAGGGAGTTGTTGTTGTTGTTGTTTGTTTTTTTACCTCCAAGATGGGGACAGACGAGCAGGGGGAGGGAAGGAAAGGGTGGA